GGGGGCATACTCCAGTTTTCAGAACTAAAGTAGACGTAATGTTTGGTTGTACCTGATCTTGGAGCAGCTGTGTTCTGAGATAATGTATGGAGTACATTCAGCATCACAGCTGCTGTGCTGTGCTTAATCTGGCAGTGAGAAAGAGCTTCACAGTAAGAGTAACTGTTTGCCCTAAAGATAGTATACAACATGTGGTTTGCATTTCAGAAACCATGGACAATAAAACTTCACATTGATATCCTAGCCTTTACTATTTCTAGCTGCCTTTGTGGTATCTAATGAGGAATGAAATCTGATTTTCAGTAATAGCATTACCGTTCCATTTTTTTGGTGAGTTTTGGTTGGGATCTCCACCTAATAGCAAGATTAAAAACCACAGTTTTCTGGTTATAACAGGTTTCTACCATGTAAGAAACTACTTTTGCCCTCTGCCAGTGTCTGGAGGAGCTGAATTGGAATAGTCATAGCTGTGCATCTCTGTGCTTAACTTTCAAGAAATACTTAACGTAAAGCTTGTAGCTCCTTATGTATTTAGTACATTCTGTTTGCTAGCATTACATGATGAAGTAAAACAAGGTTGTTTGGGAAGTGGGGTTTAGAAATCTCAAATTACTTTTTTTCCCCAGCCTTATAAACGTTACTTAATATTAACCCACCTGTCTCCTTGCACTCCCTGCTTCTCTACTTACGCAGGTAAGACTGTCAGTTTAGTGTGGAGGCTGGCAGGCCATTAAGGGGTGCTTTGTGCAAATGGGTTGCAAAAACATAGACTTCTTGTTTCTTATAGTTAAGAGGCCGGCTCTGAGAAAGCTTAACTCCGAGTATGGAAACATAAATAAAATCTAATGCCAGTTCTTCGGAACTATCTATTTCAACAGTTTGTGGGAGGTGGTCTATTTCTGCAAGGGTCTGGATTGTGCAATGAGTCAAGGAGCCGATTAAAGGTCTAACCGTATAGGCTATTGCCAAAGTCAACACAGGATCAAGACTGCTTTGTAATGGCATTTTGCAGCCCAATCCAGGCACCTGGTAGCTTCCTCAGGTTAAGCATTGCATGATTCCCTGATCTTAACCCCCTTGTTGAAAATTGTAATCTTTTCTGTTTTGTAGGTGGAAAGGGGAGAGTAAGATAATGGTTGAAAGTTGATCATTGGGAGCCTGCATGTGCTTTGCTGAATCCTAATCTAGCCCTGCTTTATCATCTGCCCTTATTTCTCTAATATCCACTTCCCTCACAATCTTTAACATATTCATTATACCGTGAACTAGAAATTTGTTATTAATGCTATTGCACAAATGAGGAAATACAGGCTGAACGCTAGATCCACAAAGGGAAATTCCTGACTCTTGGACTAGCTACCAAGTTAGGCATCTGAACTGTAGGGTTTATATATATGCACTATCTGGAGAGTATCCATAGTTATGATGGCAGTAAGTGTGAGAGGGGAGCTATAAAAGTCCGCCAGTATGTGAGCAGTTTATATTGGAAATAAGTTGTTCTTTTTACAAACTGAAGAGAGTTTTTTGGTTTCTCTGCAAAGACAACAGGGAGAAGAGGCAGCAACCCAAACCTCCTACATGCCAAGTAAACGTTAATAAGGAGGCAAAGCTCCTCTTCTGGATGACCTTTAGCATGAAACAGGTGAATACAATTGTATTTTCTTTTGACCTTAATTCTGTAGGTATTTCTTAGGTAAGCATTTGCTTACTATTTTGGGTCTCATAGTAGTACACTGAAGAAAATGCCTCATCCATGCATTTCAGGTTTGGGCATGAAAAAAATGTGAATGGCCTCAGTTTTGACATAATAGAAACAGTACTTAGTATTTTCAGAAACAGCAGCAGTGCCCACAGGGCTTTGCTGGTTAAAAGTCCAGTGCCTGGCACACATGTGATAGAAACTTTGACTGACCTTCTACTCTTTAACTTAGGTGACTATACCGAGGAGAAATTTGGATCCAGGTATGCTAAATCTAAGGCAAGATCTTACCACTGTACAACTTTTCCAGCCAGTTGCCTTTCATAAGCAAGTGCCTTCATTTCACAGTGCTTCAGTGTCCTGGGTTCGGTTGAGATAGAGTTAATTTTGAGATAACGACAGATCTGACCAGAGCACGTTAAGACAAATTTGTTGTATGCATGTCTTATATTAGTTAAATAGTCGCTGGTCACAATGTTGGTTCATTTGTTCACATGGTCGTGTTATGTAAATTCTTAAATGCACTGGGTATTTCCTGCGGTGATATTTATCACTTCTGGGAGAGGGATCAGAGTAATCATTTTGCTGTACTGGGTAATGTCAGTTTATGATATGATTACATCACTGGTCATGAGGTTAAGCTTGTGTTTGTACGTGGCAATGATGTCATGCCTGTAACTCGCGCGCCATCTCTCGGAATTTATTAGTAATCGCACCCAATCGATGGGGAAGACGGCGGGGGGGGGGGATGCTGCGTCCGGCTCTTCCACCTCCCCTTTCTCCTTCAGGCTCATTACAACAGCTTTTGAGAATTTTGAATATCCCTGGGATGTTCAAGCCAGCATGCTCTTGTTGCTATGTCTCCTGAATGTGTCTCAGGTCTTGTTTAGGGTTACACAAACATTTTTTAAGAATACCACTCAGAGATCTGCCCCAAGGCTGGATAGTCATGGGTGGCATGGCATGTGGGAGAATATGGGCAGGTATCCAGACAAATTCTCACCTCCAAAGGTTTGGAACTTCACTCCTGAACAGCTACAGGACCCTGATGAAGTGATAGAATATTTGAAAGGAAAATGCTGTGGTTATTCCAAAGAGGTGCAACTTGTCACACAGTGCTGGGCCTTGGCCAGTGCCTACCAAATGCTGCTCAATATTATGCAGCACCCTCAAGGGGAAAGGAGGGAAAACAGTCCGACAGGCACTGTGGCTACTCCAGTCCTCATGACAAGCACTGCAGCTACCCCAACCCCAGCAACAGGCACTGTGGCTACTCAAATCCCAGTGACAGGCACTGCAGCTGAACCAGAGAACCAACCAATTGCCCCTATACAGAAGCAGAAATACACAAAAAAATCGGTTTGCATAGTGAGGGATGAAGATGAACCAGGGTCATCATGAGAAGAGGAGGAAGAGGCAAAACCAGAGATAATCACCCGATCCCTATCCCTGAGTGATCTGTGAGATGTGCGAAAGGATTTCAGCTGCCATCCAGGTGAGCACATTGTTACCCGGCTGCTCCGATGCTGGGATAATGGGGCCAGTAGTTTGGAATTAGAGGGTAGGGAAGGCAAGCAGCTGGGATCCCTGTCTAGGGAAGGGGCCATTGACAAGGCAATTGGAAAAAAGACACGAGCCCTCAGCCTCTGGAGGCAACTTCTGCCAGGTGTGAAGGAAAGGTACCCCTTCAAGGAAGATGTTACATGTCACCCAGGCAAATGGACCACCATGGAGAGAGGTATCCAGTACCTGAGGGAATTAGCCGTGCTGGAGGTGATTTATATTGATCCAGAAAATGAGCAGTCACCCACAGATCCAGATGAAGTCCAATGCACACAGCCCATGTGGTGGAAGTTTCTATGAAGTGCCCCACTGCCGTATGCCCAGTCATTGGCAGTAGTGTTCTGGAAAGAAGGCAAGGGACAAACGGTAGATGACCAACTCTGGTAATACGAAGGAAGTCTCTCTTCCTCCCTACAGGCCTGCATCTTGGCTGTGGAGAAACTGCCAGACATGCTAGCTGAGAAACTCTCCCAAGATTTCCAGCGTTTGAGGATAAATTCTGCCCCCCACCTGTATGGGCCCATATCTCAGCTATTGGGAGTAAGTGTTCCTCTCCTCAAGAGAGAGCATATAGAAGGTTCACACCATGGGGTACCCTGTGGTTTTACCTGCATGGCCACAGAGAGGACGTGAGGAAGTGGGATGGAAAACCTACCTCAACCCTAGAGGCACGGGTACGTGAGATGCGAGGAAGAAGCAATCACAAAAGAGGATTCTTCCTGGAAAAATGCCACTCCAGTTTCCAGCGGGCAGTTCCCCAGACAGAGTAGAAGGGCTGATCTCACTTCTGATGCTCTTGAAGGGACTTCTGATTCATGTTTACAAAAAGTGAGTAACGAATACTATGACCAGGATTAGAGGGGCCCTGCCTCCAGCCAGGTGGAGGAAGGGGACAACCAGGTCTATTGGACTGTGTGGATTCAATGGCCCGGCACGTCACACCCACAGGAGTATAAGGCTCTGGTGGACGCTGATGCGCAATGTACCCTAGTGCCATCAAGCGATAAAAGGGCAGAACCCATCTGTATTTCTGGAGTGACAGGGGGATCCAACAGCTAGCTGTACTGGAAGGTGAAGTGAATCTAACTGGGAATGAGTGGCATAAACATCCTGTCGTGACTGGCCCAGAGGCTCTGTGCATCCTCGGCATAGACTACCTCAGGAGAGGTATTTCAAGGACTCAGAAGGGTACCGGTGGGCCTTTGGTATAGCTGCCTTGGAGATGGAGGGAAGTGAACAGCAGTCCACCTTGCACGGTCTCTTAAAGGACCCTGCGGTTGTGGGGTTGCTGAGGGTTGAAGGGCGACAGGTGCCAATTGCTACCACGATGGTGCACCGGTGGCAATATCGCACCAACCGAGACTCCCTGATCCCCATCCATAAGCTGATTCGTCAACTGGAGAGCCAAGGGGTGATCAGCAAGACTCACTCACTCTTTAATAGTCCCATTTGGCCAGTGTGAAAGTCTAATGGAGTGGAGACTAACAATGGACTATTGTGGCCTGAGTGGAGTCACACCGCTGCTGAGTGCTGCCATAGTGGACATGCTAGAACTTCAATACAAACTGGAGTCAAAGGCAGCCAAGTGGTACACCACAACTGACATCGCTAATGTGTTTTTCTCAATCCCTTTGACAGCAAAGTACAGGCCACAGTTTGCTTTCACTTGGAGGGGTGTCCAGTATACCTAGAATGGAAACACAGCCCCACCATTTGCCATGGACTGATCCAGATTGCACTGGAACAGGGTGAAGCTCCGGAACACCTGCAATACATTGATGATATCATCGTATGGGGCAACACAGCAGAAGAAGTTTTTGAGAAAGGGAAGAAAATAGTTCAAATCCTTCTGATGGCTGGTTTTGCCATGAAATGGAGTAAAGTGAGGGGACCTGCATAGGAGATCCAGTATTTAGGAATAAAATGGCAAGATGGGTGTCATCAGATCCCAACAGATGTGATGAACAGAATAACAGTTATGTTTCCACCAACTAGCAAAAAGGAAACACAAGCTTTCTTGGGCATTGTGGGGTTTTGGAGGATGCATATTCCAGATTACAGTCTGATTGTGAGCCTTCTCTATTAAGTGACTTGGAAGAAGAACGATTTTAAATGGGGCCCTGAGCAACAACAAGCCTTTGAACAAAATAAATGGGAAATTGTTTATGCAGTAGCCCTTGGTCCAGTCCGGGCAGGACAAGATCTTAAATATGTGCTCTGCACTGCAGCTGGGGAGAATGGCCCTACCTGGAGTCTCTGGCAGAAAGCACCAGGGGAGACCTGAGGCCAACCTCTCGGGTTTTAGAATTGGGGATATCGAGGATCTGAGGCTCACTAGACTCCAACTGAAAAAGAGATATTGGCAGCATATGAAGGAGTTCGAGCTGCCTCCGAAGTGATTGGTACTGAAACACAGCTCCTCTTAGCACCCCGACTGCCAGTGCTGGGCTGGATGTTCAAAGGGAAAGTTTCCTCTACACATCACGCGACTGATGCCACGTGGAGTAAATGGGTTGCACTGATCACACAACGGGCTCGCATAGGAAACCCCCATCGCCCAGGAATTTTGGAATTGATCATGGACTGGCCAGAAGGCAAAGATTTTGGAATGTCGCCAGTGGAGGAGGTGACGCGTGCTGAAGAGGCCCCACTGTATAATAAACTGTCAGAAAATGAGAGGCAATATGCCCTGTTCACTGATGGGTCTTGTCGCATTGTGGGAAAGCATCGGAGGTGGAAGGCTGCTGTATGGAGTCCTATATGACAAGTCACAGAAACTGCTGAAGGAGAAAGTGAATCGAGCCAGTGAATCTGCGCATGACGTAGATTGGTATAGAATAAGGGGTGGATAATGTTCTGTGTTCGGCTGGGATAGAGTTGATTTTCACAAGAAGCTGGGAGGGGGCACAGCCAGGACAGCTGACCCAAACTAGCCAAGGGGATATTCCATACTGTAGAACGTCATGCTCAGTATATAACCTGGGGGAACTGGCTGAGGGGGAGGAGGGATCGCGGCTTGGGAATGGGCTGTCGAGTTCTGGGTGGTGAGCAATTGTGTTGTGCATCACTAGTTTCATATATTCTATTATTATTATTATTTCTTCTCTCCTTGTGTTGTCCTATTAAACTGTCCTTATTGCAACCTGCAAGTTTTTACCTTTTTTTTCTGATTCTCCTCCCCATCCACTGGGAGGGAGGAGTGAGTGAGCAGCTGCGTGGTGCTTAGTTGCCAGCTAGGCCTAAACCACAACATTCAGGTTACCCATCAAGTGAGGATAAGAATGTAATTTTTTATTTCAGTGGAAGTGCTCTGAGGCTTCCTTAGGTTCACAAAATGTTTTCAGAAATCCTGGGGTAAGCAATGCGTACCAGTAAAGAAGATATATCCTGGTTCTGTAATGAATCTTCCTCTACAGGTTACGAACTACAACTGTCTCTTCCAACGAGAAACCAAGAATTCTTATTTCTATTCCAAGGCTCAGGCTTTGTCTTCAATTGCATTAATGTTTTGTGTATGCACAGAATTGTCTGTGCCCTGTTATACTTTCTGATTTCTAAACTTAGGCAGCAACTTTTAGCACTCTTGTATTTTCTATAAAAAATTTCCTTTTAATATATACAAATACATAAAAGTATGTAGGTGCATAAGATGAGCTGATTTCTGGTTAAGGTTGAAAAATTAAGAGAGCTATACATACATTTTTAGGTCAGAATTTGTCCTGATAGCTTATACGTAAGTAAAGCCATAATAAAAGTAAATAAATAAAGGCAAGATTTCACATTGGATCAAACCTGCAATCAAGTGCTCATTTCTGATCATGCGTATTCTGAAAAGTAGATCATAATGGAATGAACTTTAGCTTCTCTCATTTCCTGGTTGATGTGTGCCTTGGAGCTTGAGGATTTGTATCTCTCAAAAATTATTCTATTTCACATGTTCTCATTAAGCCTATTAAGTCTAACGCTTATCTGAATTCTAATAAGCTTCTATTTTCTGTACTATTTTAGCGCAGCTCGAACTATAGATTAAAGGTGCTTTATGTTTTAAATTTAAAACAAGAAAAGCTTTTTGAAGAAAACCCACTTTGGGATTTAATTGAATATTGCCCTGATTGTGTTCTTCTTTGAGTGGTAAAGATAAGTAAAACCGTATCTATATCTTCACTGCTGTTTCAAGAAACTCCAGGGAACCTCTCCCAGTGAGGATTACCTGGAGAAGATGAGCCCTGACTCTGTCTGAGCTGTGCTGTAGGAGCTTTGGTTGCTAGCTAGCTCAGCCATGTCTGTGCCTAGACATAGACCCTGTTGATCTTGGCCCTAACCCATGGATTGACTTCTTGGCTTGACCCGTCTTGTCCCTCCGAACCTGCTCGATGATCTCTGGACAGTATCTCA